CAAAATAGGACAGAGATATTTAATTATTTTCATGTTGAATTGACAAATGGAAAATTGAAGAAGAAGCATGCTCCGAAGCCTGCATGTCAAAGTAGTGGGGGATCTGCTTCTCTGTGACAGCTGCATGCTGTACATAAAATGGGTTGGCATCCTGCAACATTGAGTATGCTTTTGCCAAGGTGCTAATAATAGATTGTGTAGCTGGCAACAGATGTTGCAACAGGAGAAATATGATTTATTATAATACACCTTCATTTAAAGGGAATATAAAGGCTTTCTTCAAGGATATCAGTCAACTGTTTTAAGTGGATTTATCTATAATGCCCAAAACCACAGGCTGCATGACAGACACTGAAGAGTTAACTCTTGTTCTCCAGGCTAAACAGACCACCATGAAAACCATACAAGCATACATAATACTGCATTGCAACGCAGGGCCTTCTTTAATTTTGACTGAACCCTGGGCAAGCATTTTGCTAGTGCCTCACGCCTCTCTTCCCCCCTCCCACTCCCTGGCATGCTCAGAATGACACTTCTACATATACAAACACTGACATACACAGACACGCAGTGGTAAACAATAACACACATGCAGATACACAGACACATGCAGACACACAGATACACAAACACATACAGATATACACAGACACACATACAGACACATATAGATACACAGACACACATAAGACACACAGATACAGATATACATACAGACATCCATGCAGATACACAAACACACAACTAGATACACAGACACACAGAATGGTACACTGATACACACAATACACAATGACTCACATACAAACTCACAGATACATATACAGACACACACATTCATGTATAGACACAACAATAAACATACATACACACAGAAATGCATATACAGGTATATAAAAAGACATACAGATAGATACACAGACACATATACAGACACATGCAGATAAACAGTCACATACAGACATATAGATACTCATACAGACACACAGATACATTTACAGACACACAGATGCACATGCAGACACATATTTAAATTTTATATATGTTTTGTGCATAAGATTACAACATGCCTGCAGTGCCACTCAATGTCTTACAATGTCATGGCATAGTAAACAGCACATTTACATTTTATAAGATATGACAGGCTTGGTACAAGTGGGTAGAACTTTTGTAGCTAGTCTATATATGCTTGGTTGTACAATTGTTATGTGGTTGTTGGTTTACAGGCTATGCATCAATTACAGATTTCCATACACTTAATAAATTTTACCACCAGGGGACAGTAGGGCGCTGGGCTTACCGGGTTGGGTATACTTGTAGGCTCAGGCATTTTAATTGCTCTTTGTGGGGAGCTGCAGGAGGGGGGTCAACTATAATAAGTATATATTGATATTAAAAGTAAGGTGTTAAAATAAAGGGTATACAGTAATCTGCTATAACTTTAGGCATGTATGATTAGCAGCCGCTTGATCATTCCTGCAGCTGTGCTGAGTTGGCCGGTGTGCTTGCCGAGTTCAAGTTCCTTGTGATTCCCGCTGATTGTTTAAATGCTTGGGGACTTGTCAGCCAGGAGTGGGCCTGTTCTGGTGTGCCTGCTGGTACCTGCTTCAGGAAAGGAATAGAGCCTATGCCCCATGTTGTTGTTCCCCTTTGTTTAGGCAGGGTCAGAGTCCTGATCAAGTCCCCACAGAGCTGCTGGTGTCTGTGGGAGGTAAAGCCTCGGATGGTGTGAGTATTCTCATAATATAGTGAGCCATGCTTGCATGAGGATTATACACCCTGTGAAGTTATCCGGTGGGCAGAGGGAGTACGCCGCTTGTCTTCGGGCTGCTGTCAGCGCGCGGACTTCCTAACCGCTCCGTTTACCAGGCGGTGTCCAGCTCCTCTGTTCTCCGTCTTATAATAAGCGCGGCGGCCATCGTGGTTGTTACCATGCGGACCCAAGTTGGTCTTTCTGCCGCTCAGATGTCTTGAGTGATCACTGCGTCCCCGGTGGGGTCCGAGATAACCCCCCCGGCCCACAGGGGGGGAGAATGGGGCCCTTAGTAGGCGTGTGAGAGGTCCTGCCGGATTAAGCACTGGAGATCGGCCGTTTCTCCCGCCAGAGCCTCACAGCAGGCCGCAATTCCATCTGCCCATCAGTCAGTGTCACCGGACGGACGGGAGCTGACCGTTACACTGAGGGTTGTTGCTCGGGTCCCCTTTGCCCTCTCACAGCAGCTAAGGGTTTTTCAAGCGTGAAGGGGTCGTTTTAAGCTGTTTATTATGGGTTCATCAGGGAGCCGAGGTGCTCCACGTCTGTCCAGCTTGGCGGTCAGGCACCGCTCCCGGAGACACATATATTAACATATAGGTACACAGATACACATACAGGCATGCAAATTCACATACAGACACAGATTCACATAAAGACACAGATGCACATACTGACACACAGATACACAGACACACATACACACATGCAGAAACATATATTCACATAGAGGCACACAGATACACATACAGATAACCTAGATACACAAATACACATACAGGCACACAGATACACATAGAGACACAGATGAACATATAGGCACACATTTTCACATAGAGACACAAAAAATTCACATACAGGCACACAGAATATTGTACAGACACACATGCAGACATATAGGCACACATATACACAGACAGATATACACACATACAGATACACATAGAGACACAATTTCACATACACACAAATTCACATAGAGGCACACAAATACACACACAGGCACACAGATTCACATACTGACACATACAGGCACACTGATTCACGTACAGGCACACATGCAGACACACAGATACAAATACACACACATATTCACATACAGATAAACAGACACATGTAGGCACACATTCACATACAGACACATATACACATATAGGCACACATTCACATACAAACACATAGATTCACCTACAGACACATATGCAGACAAACAGATAACATGCAGACATACAGATGCACAAATTCACACACAGGCACACAAATACAGATACAGGCACACAGATTCATGTACAGACACACATGCAGACATAAATATACACATACAGACAGATACACATACAGACACACCATTTCACATATAGACACACAGATACACATACAGACTGCTAGATACATATACAGACACATGCAGATACACAGATACAAATATACACACATATATTCACATACAGATGAACAGACACAGGCACATATTCACATACAGACACACAGATACACATATAGGCACACATTCACATACAAACACACAGATTAACATACAGACACACATGCAGACATACAGATACACATGCAGACTTACAGACACACATATACACGCATATATACATATCCTGTCCTAATATGTTTTATACCCCACTTCCTATAGACTGTAAGCTTGTTTGAGCAGGGTCCTCTTCAACCTATCGTTCCTGTAAGTTTTCTTGTAATTGTCCTATTTATAGTTATATCCACCCTCTCATAATATTGTAAAGCGCTGCGAAATCTGTTGGCGCTATATAAATGGCAATATTATTATTAATAATAATAATAATAATAATAATAATAATAATAATATAGACATACATACAGACATACATTCACATACAGACAAACAAATTTGCATAAAGGCACACATGCAGATATACAGACACACATGCAGACATACAGACACTAAGATGCAGACACACCCGCTGTCACTTCCTCCCAGTGATGACATCATTAAAGGGGGCTTGGTCACGCTATTAAAGGGCTGCAGTGCTGACCTGGCCCCTGAGGACACAATGCCATGGGGCAACAACTTTTTGCACCCCAGGAATAACTTAGACAGGGGTAGCTGAACCGTTTGCCGTTAAAGACAGCCCTGTTGCAAAGCCTGCTAAACCACCTACTGTATCCTCATAGGAAGTGATTAGACCTTTTGCCACCTACATGAACATAATCGTTATCATGAATGTCATCAAGGATTCATCAGCATAATCTCATCAATATCATTAACTGCGTTTTTATGTTAACCTCAGTGGCCCACTCGCACTCTCAGTTACTAAAGTCTTGTCAGAAAGAAATATAACAAACAACTGGGGCACCCCTAAATCACTTCAAACCTCTATGCATGGTACTTTCCAGTTACTGTGGATGCCTTCTCTAGGAGGGACTCCTCCCTTCCAATGCAAATGAGCAGATCTATTTGGGCCAGATGCTTAAGATATTGATTTAACATTTTTTTCTTTTACAGCTTTCCGCACTTTGCTTCTACATCATTTTTATTACTACAATTATTACTCTCCTGTTGACATACTGATACCTTTCTAGACCGTAGACCAGACTTGCATAAAATATGACCTGCCAAAGGATTACAGACACTACGTGAGGCACTACCACCAGTGCACTGGCACCCGCATACTTAGGAGTAGAGTTGAGTGGACACCTGAATGTTCGGGTCCGGCGGGTTCGGCCGAACTTTGAAAAAAAATGCGGGTTCGTGATGAAACTTGACCCCGAACCCGAACCCCATTGAAATCAATGGGGACCCGAACTTTTTGCCACAAAAAATGCCTCTTAAAAAGTCCTGGAAAGGGCTAAAGGGCTGCAAAAGTAAGTAAAATGGGGGTAAGAGTAGGACAAGAGTCCTGCAAACAAATATGGATAGGGAAATCACTTAAAATAACATAAAAAATAAAAATACAGCTGAGCCATAAAATAGCACTAGATGGAATCTTTGATTTTAGCTTTGGAAGAACATAAATCAAAATCTAAAGCATGGCTGTCAGGAGGATCACAAGAATTATCCATTTGAGAGAGGGTTGGAGTGCAGGGTATTCTCCTTCATTGTTCAAACTGAGCTCAACTTCTGATGCATGGAGAAAAGGCCTTCACAAGCCTCTGCTATTGTGTATATAGTTTATACTAAGTGACCCATAGGTTGAGGAGGCGGTGACTGTGGCGGTGTAAGTGGAAGCGGAGGAGGAAGAGGAGGAGGTAGCCAACACTGTTTTTTATTTGTTTTTGTTTTGTTTTTTTCCATTTTAATTGGGGTAGCCCCCAAAATATTGGGACAAATAAAAAAAGAAACATTTGTGGCCTGTTGTGCATTTCTTGCAGTCCTGATTCATGGATAAATGCTCAACTCCTGATACATGGAGAAAAGGCCTTCACAAGCCTCTGCTATTGTGTACATCACAAGGGCCACCCAGAACTGGATCAACTCCCATCAAGCCAAGTTTCCGGAGGAGATCACCCAGCTCGTCATGCTAGAGCACTTTTTCAATGTGCTCCACAACGAGAAGGCGACGACGCATTCGTATGTCAATCCATATCAACTTTCGATGCCATTGGTGACCACGGGTAATGGGGAATTAGGGTTTGATTCCGTATAGGGACCCTAATAAACGGCTACCACATGCAGGGAAGGCAGCAGGCGCGCAAATGACCCACTCCCGACGCGGGAAGGTAGTGACGACAAATAACAATACAGGACTCTTTAGAGGCCCTGTAATTGTAATGAGTCCACTTGAAATCCTTTAACTCTGATCAATTGGAGGGAAGTCTGGTGCAGAGCCACTGACCCATGTGTGCTGCAGCTGAAACTCCACTATCGCCTGCTGCTGCTCAAACAGTATCTCCAGCATGTGCAAGGTGGAGTTCCACCTTGTGGACACGTCGCATATGAGGCAGCGAGTGGGAAGGCCAAAGTTATGCTACAGCGCAGACAGGCGAGCAGCAGCAGGGTGAGAAAGCCGAAAGCGCGCAGAGCCGCTACAGTGAATGTCACATCCTGTTCCAAGTTGCGGATCAGTCTGGTGATGGTTTCTGGTATCCAGTACTCTTTTTACTGAAGCTGCATCAGGGTCCTGGTATGTGGACGCACAAACGCTGGTGCTCAAAACCAGGGGGCGTGCGGTTACCCTGCACCAGACCCTGCTAATCCATTCCACACTGTGACTCCTAACTTCAACATCAGGCATACTGGGTCCCGGTCGTCCAACCGCCGCCCAGACAGTGTCTGGGTCCCGTTCACCGGTCTGCAAAACTGCGAATGGATCATTAAATCTGTTCTTTTTATCGCTTCAACTGTTACTTGGATAACTGTGGAAATTCTAAAGATAATACATGCCGACGAGCAATGGGGAACGGCCGCTCCGTTTTTGCACCCTGCTCCCTCTTATGCTTTGCTGGTGCCTCTGTGCGACCAGTGCCTCTTCCTCCAAACTTCACACATCACTCACATGACCTTGATTCCATGTGGGGTCTAGGACCTCATCATCCTCCACATCATCTTCCACCCACTCCTCAACCCTGCCCTCCTTGCCAGTATGCACACTGCAGAAAGCCACAGCAGTTGGCACCTGTGTTTTTCCAGCATGTAAAGTCTGCAAAGGACATATGGAAATTGTTTTAGAATTGTATACAGGCAACAGTTTTCCCTATAAACTGACCTCTCAGTTTGACTTGTCAGGTTATTGCCCCAGAATTACAATACTGTTTAAGTACCTCTTAGCTATTGATAACTGGTTTAAATATAGCAGCTTGTTATCTGGTAGTTTCTAGTGTAGAAAATATCACTGTTTTCTATCACTTAGATCTGTATAACAAGTGTTGTAGGTGTGAAACAATATTACAAGTGACCAATATAGTAAATTCGAATCAAAGTTCCATTTGCAAAATAAATTCTCACCCATCTTCTGTGGGTTATTGCATTTTTAAGATGTAGACTTATTGTATCACACTAGACATGCACAGATAGATTGTCTGGCATGTTGTTTTGGTGTTTGGTTTTTAACTTTGTAGTTGTGTCTTTACACAATATAGAAATCAGGCTAAACAAAAATTGGTAATTAACAATATGACATTTGAAAAGCACATGAAAGGATGCTGTATGATTAAAAAAAAAAAAAGAACACACTACATGAAGGTCCTATTCACTAGAGTGTGTAGTCATGAATGTAACCAGTAAAACTTTGTTTTTACAGCCACTGGCTGGCCAATACATATTTTAAAACTTGTTTAATTTTGTTATAGCATGACTTGTAGTCTTGTTTTTAACTTGTCTATAATACATATTTTTTGTATGACACTTGGTGTGTTTTTTAATTGATTATTGAATTTTAATGGTCTAAGATAATTAACATGCCAACAGGCAAACGTAACCCGAATGATTTGTCTCAGTCTTGTCTTCTATACTACCTGCACCATAGGCAACATTTTTTGTCTTTAGACTTTCTTGAGAAGCGGTAACTAGCCAGTGTTGCGCACACACACCAGATATAAAGTGCACACCCCAAATGTACTATTTAGCACCAAAAAAATTTGAATGTTTACAACTGCGCTGTAAGCGCACTATTAGACGCTTCGATTTGACTCGCAGATATGAAGAGCAGGCCCCAAAATGTACTATTTAGCAGATTAGCAGCAAAACAATTAGAATGTTTACAACTGCGCTATAAGCGCACTATTTGATGCTTCTATTTGACTCTCAGATATGAAGAGCAGGCCCAAAAATTTACTATTTAGCAGATTAGCACCCAGAAAAAATTTGAATGTTTACAAATGCGCTGTAAGCGCAGTATTTGACGCTTCTATTTGACTTTCAGATATGAAGTGCACCCCACTAATGTACTTTTTAGCACCCAACAATTTTTACGTTTTAAAACTGCAATGTGACAGCAGTATTTGATGCTTCTATTTGAGTCTCAGATATGAAGTGCACCCCACTGATGTACTATTTAGCACCAAACAAATTTACTTTTTAAAACTCAGATGTAACCGTGGTATTTAACGCTTCTATTTGACTCTCAGATGTGAAGTGCACCCCACTAATGTACTAGTTTGCAGAATTCTTTCCTAATCTGTCCTTAAAAGCGGCAGCATCCTCTCCCTACACTAATAAGAGCTCATGTGCGTGCAGCGCTATGCGACTCCAGCTTATATATTGAGGCTGGGTCACATGCTGCACTGGCCAATCAAAGCCATGCCATTAGCAGGCTTGGCTGTGATGGCTTCTAAGGGCACATGAGTCAAACGCTTGTTGATTGGCAGTCCTGCAGCCTCTGAAAACGCGCCATTAAATCGCTGAACACCGAAATCCAACCCGAACATACAGTGATATGTCTGTGTTCGGGTCCGGGGTCCAAAAAAGGTAATGTTCGGTACGAACCCAAACTTTACAGTCTGGGTTTGCTCAACTCTACTTAGGAGGCCCATAGGTTGGCGAATCCACTTAGGGCCACCTGGTTGGGCATGTGTTAATTGCCAGTAATGGGCCACTTGACTGGATTTGCCCTCCAGGCCTAAGGCTGCCAGCCCTCCCCTATGTGCAACCTCACTCTACAACTCCACTCTCTCCTCTCAACTAGACATCATGGCACCTCCTACATTTAAACGCAGCAAGCGCTCCCAATTACAACCCTGGCACACCAAGCTGACTCTTACTCTGCACCTGACTTCCTCCACTATAAATTTATGCTGTGTTTCTACACTCTGGCTCTTTCTTCTGCAAAATTAAATTACTTCAACACCCTCTTAAGCACAGTGTCCCACCAACCCAAATGCCTATTTCACACTATTAATGCTCTCCTTCACCCTGTTGCTCGCCCTCCTCCTATCACCCTGTCCGCATCAAACTTTGCAACTCACTTGACTGAGAAAATTTCTACAATCAGGGAAGAGATCTCTAACCTCTTTCCTTCCCCTTCCAATAGATCTTCCAATACATCACCCAACCCCACTCACTCCACTGTTCTATGCTCATTTGCACCTACTACAATGGAAGAGGTTTCTGCTCCACTCTGGTCCTCCTGCACCACCACCTGTTCCCTCGATCCTATTCTCTCATATCTCATCCGCAACCTGTCTCCCTCTCTTGCCCTTCCTCTCACTGACATTTTCTATCTCTCCCTTTCCTCTATTTCCTTCACCCTTCAAGCATGCAACCATAATGCCAATTCTGAAAAAGCTGAACCTTGATCCCAACTCCCCATCCAACTATCGCCCTATATCGCTACTGCCATTTGCATCCAAGATCTTTGAGAAAGTTGTGTATGCGAGGTTAACAGACTTCTTCGAATCCAACACTCTGCTTGACCCGCTTCAGTCTGGATTCTGCGCTCGTCACTCTGTTGAAACAGCTGTGACCAAAGTATCCAACGATTTAATCGCTGCTAAATCTAGTGGTCCTAATTCTCCTTGATCTCTTTGCTGCCTTTGACACTGCTTATTATCAACAGCTTCTTCTCATTCTCTGTAATCTCGGTCAACGAGATACTGCTCTCTCCTTGTGCTCCTCCTACCTTTCCCAGTGCTTTTTCAGTGTTTCTTTCTCTGGCTCTGCCTCTTCACCCCAACCCCTCTCTGTTGGCGTTCCCCAAGGTTCTGTCCTTGGTCCCCTACTTTCTCCATCTATACTGCCTCCCTTGGTAAACTCATCAGCTAGTTTGCCTTCCATTATCATTTATATGCAGATTACACGCAAATCTACCTGTCCTCTCCTGATCTCTTGCTTGCTTAAAAGTCCCTACATAATGCTGCTCCAACCTACCCATCCTCACTAATACACAAGTATTTCCCGTTGAGGCCCCTGCACTCTGCCGAAGACCTACGTCTATCCTCTTTCCGTACTCCCACATCTGATGCTCGCCTCCAAGACTTCTCCAGTGCTGCACCTTTTCTTTGGAACTCCCTTCCCTTCTCCGTTAGACTTTAACTCAGTGTCCTGTCAGGATATTTATATTGGCAGACGTTTTTAGAAATTAAAAGTGTATATTGCCAGAGTCACTCAGAACAGAGCGGACTCCATTTTGGATTTCAGGCAAGACAGACACAAAATTTCTTTCCTTTCTGTAACTAGCCACTAGCCTGAGCTATGGAATGCGTTATGTAAACAAGCCAAGTGATAAGAAATTAAGTCTCACACAAGCAGGGGGGTGGAATGCTCTGTTTAAATGTTAGTGGACTAGAAATAATTTTAAACACTAGTGACAGAGAAGACTAAGTAATTAATTTTACTTTCTAAATCTTATATGGTCTCATTGTAAGCAAAGGGTGAAATTGAGGTGAGGAGATGTCAATTTTAGAAAATACGATCGAAATTATAGACACTCTGGAGAAAAACCAAAGAAATCCTTTGAACTGACAGCAAAATTGAGTGATACTAGTAATTTTAGATAAGCCAAATTACGTCGAAATCGTCATCAAAATAAGTTAACTCTTTCGTGGACACAAAATTTTGGTGATGAAAGAGCACCATCTACTGACTAAAATCTAAATTGTGGTCTGTGAGTTGACCACACCTTCAATGTCCTATTGGCCTTATCAACTAATAACGTAGTAGTAGAGAGTCTGGCCCTTTAAAAAGTTAGGAACAAAGGGAAGAGGGACATTCAGATTCAGATTCGGACATTCACAAAGATCCAGGAGTGAGATTCAGGACACTCTGGGACTAACACTCAACTCTCAAACTCTCTTGGACACAACTCAAGAAACACTTCCTAGACACTTAGAATTTTACTATTACTTTCTAACCAATATCACTTTCTCTATCGTATGCACACCTCCTTACAAACATTAACCACACTTCCATTCATTCCTGATAAGAGCATC